CCCCGTACGAGAGGGCACGCTCTTCCAGTAGTTCGACGAACGACAGTGGGTCGTCCTGCCCGTCAAACTGGATTGGGTGAGTGGGAGAGGGAGGGGGGTGTGGCTGTGGCTGTGCGGATAAGAGCGGAGAGAGATAATTGTTAATCATTTTTTTTCTTTTAATTAACGTTTGCTTTATAGCTAAAATTCGTTTTCCACCGTAGAATAATTTTTTTTGCTCCTTAGTTTTAGGTACGATTATATACATACATAACATACATACATACATATATACCATACATATATATATATATATATAAGATCGATAAACAGCATACGGAGTAGGTCGCGTATTACAAAATCATCTTAAGTATAAAGTTACAGTTACAGCTGAAGAAGAGAAATATCTTTGAGTTGAGCCCCGAAAGTGAAAGGCAGAAGAACGTTTCGTTAATGAAAAACACACACACACAGCTTTATATTGATTAAATTGGTATTTGTTTAATTTGAATTTAAAGATGGATTCATGATTACGATAATAATGAATGATGAATGATGTATATGTTAATATTTGCTAATTTACGCACTTGGTTTGCACTCGATTTGAGTTTTGGTGCCGTTGATAATGTTACAAATTTAGTTGTCGTTTCGTTTCCGTTTTTTGTTTTGACTGTACCCCATATAGAATTGTACTTTATGTATCCATGTATCAATGTTTTAATTATTTAATTGGGTTTAATTCGATTCGACGGCTGATTCAACAAAATTGCCTTCCAAATATCATGTGGGAGCGCGCCTTCATTCGATTCTGAATACAATTCCTCATCTGCCAGGAACCTGCCACAATTGCCGTATATATATACATATATATATATAACCGAAAGAAAAGAGTCATCCCGTAGTGTAGTATGCTCATATTAAAGTAAAGTAAAGTATTCATTATTACGAATACCCACTGTACCGACGGTACTTAAAGAATACACACTGTAACACTTTGTTTCAGTGTTTACGTAACAATAAAGTCCCAGACATTCTGGGTGATCGTATTACGATTCACTCAAGAATGCCTCGAGCGACCCAAGTGCAGCGTCAGCATGTTCCCATGACTTGACGGCACTAATATACATGCATACACACATATATCTTCCCTCACGCTCTCGCTGCCAACAGCGCTGAGCATATTCACACATATACATACTAACATATAAGAGATAAGAACACATAGTTCTGCCGCTCCGCTGCCGGCGTCACTGGCAGCGCAGCTCCGCGGCTTTTGGCTTACAAAAGCCCAAAACACAATTGTAAAATTGAGAACATAAACGACAATAAAAGAGATCGGAGGGTTGAGCCCCAACGATCCAGAAAAACGGATTGAACATCGTTTTACATGGCGACCGTGACAGGACCATATATGTCCTACGCGATGGATCAATCTAAGGATTGAAAAAAAAAAAACAGGAGAAAAATTTTTTCAAAAAAGTGTCAAAAATAATAAAGACAAAGAATGGCCGGAAAAAAATATAATAATATGTGATTTTGATTAAAAAAAAAAAATCGGACCAAGTCAAAAGAAAATTGATGAATTGGAAAAACTATTGAAATAGTGTTGTCCCCAGTGCCAGTGCAAAGAAAAAAAACCCAGCAGAAAGCCAAACCAGCCGTTTCGCCAGACCCATGCACGACTGCCGACGATATTACGCACAAACCCATGTTGCATTATAATTTATACCCTTAACTTTGGGGACTACAATGCGGCCAGGAATATATAATACCCAAGGAGATTTAACAGCCCGCGCTACAAAGAGCGTACACGCAATATAAAAACCTGTGCGAAGACCAGCACCGGCCCCCACCAGACCCAGCAAGGACCAATAATATAAGTGCGAGTGGCATAGGACCGCCCCTTGCACCGTCGATGGACAGTAACACAAACACTCCAGCAGCAGAAAATGCACCAGACTTCGCCGACGCTGCTCCTACCGAGCAAAGGGACGCACTCAGCCTACAAGAGGCCTTAGAAGTGTATCCAAACGATGGACCACGCCCACTCACAATAGCTGAGTACAGGGCAAGACAAGAAAAACGCCCCAGGAAGAAAACAAAGAGGGGCGGCCGGATCAAACGGCTGCTTCAACAACGACGTCTGGAGCGGGACCTGGAAAAAACATATACAAATGAAGAGGACCGACAGCGCTGCCAAGAGCGCATCAAGGAAATCAATAAACAACTTCGCCAATAAAAGAGCGAAGTAACGCAATTGAGCTGCAGAAATGCCATGCCTCATATTGCCAATAATTATAATTTTCTATCTCGAGTTGAAGCACCCTTAAAGTGCAACTTGAAAATACTAACCTCTGTTAGGCTATTACTAAAACCATGTGATCGATGTTGAATTATATAATGAAAAACCTGTAAATCGATCACATGTCCCTTAACATTTTTTTTTTCTTCCTTCATTTTGATCAAATATATATAAAAAAAAAAAAATTTATATTGATAAAATTTTAAAGAGTAAAAAAAAAAAAAAAAAAAAAAGGAAGGGTATATACATATGTGTGTCCATGAGAAAAAAAATAATTTTTTTTTTTCAAAGAATAAATGAATAGCAAATAATTAAAAAAAAAAAATAATAAAAATAAAAAAAACTCCAACATTGTAGAAACCAATTTTTGAGAGAAAATCATCACCATGGGTTGGTTCGGTTCTGACGATAGTCAGACCAAAGACAATACGGCCAATGTGGTCAATAATGTCAAAATAATAGACCACAGGGATGATCTCAATGCACTCTGGTTATTACTTCTGATTTTAACCTTTGTCACTGTTTTACAATTCCTTTTAACATTGTATGTAAAACATAATAAGATAATTAAAAAGAGATATATGAGTAGGGCAAACACTTCGTACCAATAATTCCCAGCCCCCACCTGCGGGCAATTAAACAGCCATTCGATCTGCTTGATTGACAAGTCGTTCGCTATTCTATGGTGATCGAGGTCCTGCAATTCTCTTTCCAATTCATGTTCAGCTCCCACCAAATTGGTACCACTGTCAGATTGGATTCTTACTGGTCTTTACGGCGCCGCGCCATGAAGCTATGCAATACTCGAAGACACGTATCTGTTGTCAGGTCCCTGGGAATTTCCAAATGAATTGCTCTTATTGTAAGGCATGTAAATATGCATATCCAGCGTTTCTCGGTACTCCTTGGTCTTACAACCAGAAACGGTCCCATGTAGTAGATTCCAACATATGAGAATGGGCATACGTGCGGAGAGAGTCGGTCCTTAGGAAGTTGTACCATTAATGGCGTTTTTGGTGAAGCTCTCTGGATTTTACAAGTCATACAATTTCTAGCTGCACGGCGAACCTCCAGTCTCCAACCTGTCCAGTCAATAGCAACATCCTGTACATTGCGGATCACTATGAGTACAGCTTCTTTAATTTCAGCTACATCAAGGTAGACTTTTCGTTTGGTCTTACGATCACACATCCTGTAGACCCAAGCGACAGCACGCATCAGCCTTGTAAATGAAGATAACCCTTCCAGAAACTCCCTGAATACGATATTGACAGATCCATCTGAAGACATCTCATTTATTGATAACGTAAACTTGCATCTTACTTCCAGTTCCGTGTCACCAACGTCTGAAGTTCCTAGATTCCATAGACTTGCGTCCTCTTGAAGGAATTGAGGGAGGTTTCTCGAGTTCTAGATCTGAGTTTGGTGCCAAAGTCTGCCGGGTTATCCTTAGTAGGCACCCAATGCCAATCTTCCAACCTTGTTGCCTCGAAGTATCTCGTCAATTATGTGTCCTACATATGGCTTATATTTTTTGCGATCTGATTTAATCAATGCTAAGACAGTCTTGGAGTCGGACCACATGTGGTCACATTTGGGTTTGACGTCGTGACCCTCAAGACCTCATATCTTTTAGACTGCAGAATCTGAATCGGATCGTATCATTATTATAGCCAGCATCAAGAAAACGCCACACCCCCTTCCACCCCCGCAAAGGACTTAAATCTGGGGCATCCACAAATCTCAGAGACTATTAAGGCTAGAGTATTCAAATTAGGTATCCACACTCCTTTTAGATCTCAATATAAAACGTATAGATTCGAGAATCTGCAGATTCGAGAAAACTAAAAACGCACAATCATAGAGAATAACCATATCTATCCGGTTGCTGAATCTGGATCAGATCGGATCATTTTTATAGCCAAAAGGAACAAATCAATTTGCAGTGGCTACGCATCGCCCGACGTCACGCTCAGACTGATTTTCTGCCTTTCTCTCACGCACTCTTTGTCGTGTCGTTCAATTTAGCGGCGTCTGCCGGAGGAGATCCATACTGACTAAGTATCGGCTATAAATGTAGAGTTGCGGTGTCCGCAGAAACTCACAACGTTCCCCCTCGTTTTGTTTGTTTTGATTGACCTATTTCGATACTTGTTTTTTGTTTAACTTATTTCGCTAAAACCTCTTTTTACGCAAAATGCAATAAAAGCAAATATTAAGAATGCACCAGTTAAATAGAAAATTGATTCATTATTCGGATAAAATTATGTGGACATGACTGAGTGCTCTATTTAGCTAATAATATTCCACGGAATATCAAAAACGAGCAATATGTATAACAGAACTTGACTTCGTCAGTATATTTACGGTATATTTTGGTATATTTCTGAGCGTCGGTCACACTGCGCTACACTCAAACGAATCGTGGCGTCGCTTGGCGCTGGAATTTTGAAGCTAACGTGAATTTTGTGAAGAAAAACAGAACATAAACAACATTCGGCGGTCAATTGCGTGGGAAATAATTTATTAGAATGAAAGCAGTGTAAGTAGAATGTGAAACCTTAAAAGCGCGATGAAATAGATACAAGAGGGACTTTTGCAGATCACGAACTCCGATGCGCGTCCCCAAGACACCGCGAGTGCATCAAACGACAGAGAAGCACCGTCGGGAGACGTCCGAAAAGGCAAAAGATCCGGTGAATGTGTTCTGCCGAGCATAATGCCCCGATGCCTAGATGTGCTCTTTCGCACCATATCCGATTTTCAGGCCAAGAAGTTTGTCTTCAAGCCGGACAAGTTGAATGGCTTCGAGATTCTGTCCGAGGAGGATGCGCTGCTAGAACGGCAACATGAGATGAATCAACGCATAGCCGGTTCCGGTCGCTTCGCGTACCGAAACAAGGACTCGGATCCGGAGATCGCCTCCCAAGCGTCGGTGGAGCCAATGCCTCTGCTGGGCCTCGACGAGGACAATATGTATTCGGTGTTTGTCACCTACGTAGAAATTTACAACAACAGTGTGTATGATCTTCTAGAGGACTCGGGCATACAGAAGTAAGTGGGATATCCTTCAAGTGTTCACGTATGTAATCCTCTGTTTCCTCTCCCTTGCAGGACTTTGCAAAGCAAAATCATTCGCGAGGATGCCCATCATCACATGTTCGTCCATGGCGTCACCGAGGAGGAAGTTAAAACGGTGGAGGATGCCCTCGAGGTCTTTCAAATGGGACAAAAGAAAAAGCGCATGGGTCACACGGTCTTGAATGCCGAGTCCAGCCGCAGCCACTCGGTGTTTAACATTCGCCTCGTCCAGGCCCCCACCGACAACCAGGGCGAGAATGTTGTCCAGGACAGGCAAAAAATCACTGTGAGCCAGCTGTCCCTGGTAGATCTGGCCGGCAGTGAGCGCTCCTCGCGCACCAAGAACACTGGGGTGCGACTTCGCGAGGCTGGGAACATCAACAACTCGCTGATGACGCTCCGGACATGCCTCGAGTATCTGCGCGAGAATCAGCAGGCGGCCATCAATGGCTTTGCCCATAAGAAGATACCATATCGCGACTCCAAGATCACGCACATGATTAAGAATTACTTTGACGGCGAGGGGCAGGTGTCCATGATTGTATGCATCAATCCTAGAATGGAGGACTATGATGAGAATATGGTAGGTGGAGAATTTGCCGGTTGATTTATTTTGCTCCAAATTCCCTTTTTTCCATTTGCAGCAAGTTATGAAGTTTGCCGAGATGACTCAGGAAGTGCAAATAGCTCGGGCAACGCCCATTAAAACGGACTTGGGCCAAACCCCAGGCCGCCGGAAGGCCAACAAGCTGTTCAAGATAGCTGTCAAAAATCTGAACGAGCTGGGCATGTCCGAGGCCAAGGACCTGAAGGTGGATGTGGGCTTGGTCTACAGTCTGGGACCCGACTTTCCCTTCTGCCAAGTGGACAGCCCTGAGGCGGAGGTTAAGATCCAGGAGCTCATGCATTACCTGGAGCAGCGGATTGAGAAGCGGAAGAGGCTGCGCGCCAATTTGGATATTAAATGTGAGTCCTATAGCCTCCGCTCCTCCAAAAAGGGTGCCCATCCTTATTAATTTTGCATGTACTCCTAGGCGACAATTTTCGCCAGATGCTAATGAACTTGGACCGCGACAACTTGCAGCTGAGCACGGAGCTGGCTTCCCTCAAGGCCGTCTACAAGCAGGAGCGCGAGCGCAGCTTCGCCTTGGAGAAGAAGGTGCGCATTCACGAGAGCTCCATCGACGTGCTGAACAATACGCTGACCAAGCGCGACAGGCAGATCGAGGAGCTGACATTCAAGCTGAATGAGAAGGAGAATCTCCTGACCCAAACGGAGCACGAGAAGGAGAAGCAGAAGAAAAAGTGCAGCTCCAAAATGGCCGTGGAGTCGGATAAGAACAAGCGGGAGCTCGAGATAAAGCTCCGTCAGCAACGGGAGAAACTGCATGAACGGATGCGCATCAAGGACGAGAAACTTCGCCTGGTTTCGAATATCATACGATCCGAGGATCTGCCGAGCATGCCGCGCTCGCAGAGCTCGGAAGATTTACTCAACGAGAAGGATCGCGGCCCATTCACAGCTCGAACGGAGTCATCTGTGCCGGCCACGCGAACAGACATCTATGTCACGCCCCGACATGTAAGCCAGTACTTGTCCTTCCGCTCTGTGAACTTTAATCTAGTATCTATTCGCATTCCCACCCCTCCCAACCAGGGCGTGGCAGCTGCCAACAATCGCCATCGACGGTCGCGTTCAGCTGGCGACAAATGGCTGGAGCATCGTGCAGCCAATCCCGTGCCACTCGGCACTATTATGCAGCCCTTTCTGAAGAATCGCAAGTCGGTTACCAAGCTGACGGACATGAAGACGCTGACCGAACACGGCGCCAACAAATACTGTCTCGTCTCCCAGGAGGCCGACACGGACGGGGATGTGGATACGAAACTGTACAAGGGCAATGTTATACCCACATGTGGCGGCGGCGCCCAGGTGGTGTTCAACGATATCGAGTGTCTCAAGCAGAAGTCGCCCGTGCATTCGCCAACGCGAAAGCGTCCCAGCAATGGCACGATGTCGGCTCTGGGCGTTGCCAGCGCCCTGCCCAGCACGGTCACCTCCATCACCGTCCAGGATGTGGCCTCGCGTTGCAACCTCGGCATCGAGGGGCACAGCAACAAGAAGACAAATATCTAGAGCTCGTCCTGTAATTCTTGAACATGCATTTCCATTTCCATTTAGTTTTACTTTTTTTTTCTAGTTAACGTAATTACTAAAATTATTGATTACTAGCCTTTAAAGTTGAAAAGTTAAAGTTAACTGCAATTAAAGCCAAGTAAATAATCTGTATAAATATTCGCACATCGATGAATTCTAAACCTCGCAACTGAACTTATTGCTGTGGGAGCACACACCAGTGGAAGGAGTGCGAAGAGTGCGTCCATTCATAAGTTTATAATAAATAGTTGTACTGCAAAGTATTCAATATTTCTCGTATGCATATCCCTTGCAATGCCCCTTGATTATTATATGAACAATTAAAGTAGAAGAAGCAAATATACATATGTCTTATGCTGGTATTAACTATTATTTTTTTTTTTTATTGTTATTCCTGCGTTTATTCAATGCTTAAACCGATAGAATTTATTGAAATACATACATATTTGTAGATTAATTTCAATTACTAATAAATCAGTCTATAATTAAAATATATGTTTTTCGCTTAATGATTTCATGTATGTATGTATGAATGTATGTATGTGTTTGTGTGTATGTGTGGGTGTGAGCTGCTCTTCACAAGAGTATACTACTGTAAAACGATGTTCAATCCGTTTTTCTGGATCGTTGGGGCTCAACCCTCCGATCTCTTTTATTGTCGTTTATGTTCTCAATTTTACAATTGTGTTTTGGGCTTTTGTAAGCCAAAAGCCGCGGAGCTGCGCTGCCAGTGACGCCGGCAGCGGAGCGGCAGAACTATGTGTTCCTATCTCTTATATGTTAGTATGTATATGTGTGAATATGCTCAGCGCTGTTGGCAGCGAGAGCGCGAGGGAAGATATATGTGTGTATGCATGTATATTAGTGCCGTCAAGTCATGGGAACATGCTGACGCTGCACTTGGGTCGCTCGAGGCATTCTTGAGTGAATCGTAATACGATCACCCAGAATGTCTGGGACTTTATTGTTACGTAAACACTGAAACAAAGTGTTACAGTTGTATTCTTTAAGTACCGTCGGTACAGTGGGTATTCGTAATAATGAATACTTTACTTTACTTTAATATGAGCATACTACATCTCCCTCCTTTTGAAAAATAACGTAATATAATGAAGTTATTTTATTTTTAGCTTTTACTATATATGTATACGAGTTATGTATTCTTAAAAAGACAATTTATATATATATATATTTTTTTTTCTTTTTAGTCAATTATTAGAATATTGAACTTTAATTAATATTGATAAAATGTAAAAGTTATTTGAATATAAATGCAGAGTAGTATATTTTTATGGTTTATATTTATGTATGGCCATACTAAAAATGATTAATAATTGCAAATCTTTAACCTATCCTTATGTACTTTCTGAGTTTTGTTTTTATTATCGGAGATTATGACGTTATCTCTTTCTCCGATACTTTCTACTCTATATGGTCCTATATATTTAAAATCTAGCTTATGTCCTGTTTCATTTTTCAATAAAACTTTATCTCCTACAGCTAAATTTAAATCTTTTAACTTTAAGTCATATAGCTGTTTATTTTTAATTTTATGCTCCTCGAGCATAATCCTTGCTCGTTTATATGCTATTTCTAATCTATATTTACTCTCTTTAGAGTAATCATCTATGTTATATAGAGGTGCTATTCTATCTATAGTATTAAATTGAACTGGTAAGTTTGAAGTCTTACCGAAAACTAGCTCATATGGACAATAATCATGTGCCATAGAGGGGGTTGTATTAAAACAATATACGAAGTATTGCAGCCATACATCCCAATCTGATTTGTCAGCTGAGATGTATGAGCGTATGAATTCGTTAAATGTTCTGTGGCTTCGCTCCACGGTTCCTACAGTCTGGTGATGATGTGCAGTAGAAGTTATGTTTTTGATGTTTAGATTTTTACATAAGTCTTCAATTATTGAATTTTTATATTCTGTTCCCATGTCCGTAATGAACGTCTTCATTGGACCGTACTTTAGAATAAAATTTTCAAAAATAGCTTTAGCTACTGTATTTGCACTTTTGTTTCTAATGGGTATGGCGACAAGGTATTTTGTCAGGTCACATATTAAGGTGACTGCATATTCATTTCCTTGTTCTGATTTAGGAAGTGGACCGATCGTATCCACTATTACCCTATCAAAAGCCATGTATGGTGTTTCTGTAATAGTCAATGGAGTTATTGTGTGCTTGGTTACTTTAGCTTTTTGGCATTTTGGACATTTTCGTATGTAATTGGTTATTTCTTTAGTCATACCTTTCCAAAAATAATATCTTTTGACCTTGGCCAAGGTTTTTGTTATGCCTGTATGTCCTCCTTGTATGGGATCATCATGTAATGTAGACAGTATTGCTTCTTTTTCTTTTTATACCCGATACTCAAAATGAGTATTGGGGTATATTAGATTTGTGGTAAAAGTGGATGTGTGTAACGTCCAGAAGGAATCGTTTCCGACCCTATAAAGTATATATATTCTTGATCAGCATCAATAGCCGAGTCGATTGAGCCCTGTCTGTCTGTCCGTCCGTCCGTCTGTCCGTCTGTCCGTCCCCTTCAGCGCCTAATGCTCAAAGACTATAAGAGCTAGAGCAACGATGTTTTGGATCCGGACTTCTGTGATATGTCACTGCTCCAAAAATATTTCAAAACTTTGCCCCGCCCACTTCCGCCCCCACAAAGGGCGAAAATCTGTGGCATCCACAATTTCGACGATACGAGAAAACTAAAAACGCAGAATCGTAGAAGATGACTATATCTTCTAGAGTGCAAAATCTGAACCAGATCGTATAATTATTACAGCCAGAATCACGAAAACAATTTCACTCTTTCTCGCTCTGTCTCACTCTAACACACAGGTTTCATGGTCGGTTTTGCCAATTGCAAAATATGAGTTCAAGGATCTCAGAACCTATAAAAGCCAGAGCAACCAAATTTGGTATCCACACTCCTGTGATATCGGACCTTGACCGTTTCCTGTCCAAATTTCGCCACACCCCCTTCCGCCCCCGCAAAGGACGAAAATCTGAGGCAACCACAAATCTCAGAGACTATTAAGGCTAGAGTAACCAAATTTGGTGCACACACTCCTTTAAGATCTCACTATAAAACGTATATCTCAAAATTTCGCCCCACCTCCTTCCGCCCCCACAAAGAACGAAAATCTGTTGCATCCACAATATTGCAGATTTGAGAAAACTAAAAACGCAGAATCATAGATAATGACCATATCTATTAGATTGCTGAATCTGGATCAGATCAGACCATTTTTTTAGCCAAAAGGAACAAATCAATTTGCAGTGGCTACGCAGCGCCCGACGTCACGCTCAGACTGATTTTCTGTCTCTCTCGCACGCACTCTTTGTCGTGTCGTTAAATATTAGCGGCGTCTGCCGGAGGAGAGCCATACTGACTTAGTATCGGGTATAACCGTAGAGTTGCGGTGTCCGCAGCAACTCACAACGTTCCCCCTCGTTTAGGTCTGTGATGGTTATTCTTGATAACGCATCTGCTACATGATTATCTTTACCCTTTAGATACTCGACTGTAAAGTCGTATTCTTCTAATTCGAGCCGCATGCGTGTGAGTTTTGAGCTAGGATTGACCATTGAAAATAGGTATGTTAGTGGTCTGTGATCCGTTTTTACTGTAAAGTGTTTACCATAGATATATGGTCGAAAATGGGTAATTGCCCAATGAATTGCTGCTAATTCCTGTTCTGTAGTACTTTTGTTACTTTCACCTTTTGTGAATGAACGTGATGCATATGCTAATGGGAGTTGGAGTCCGTTATGGTTTTGAGTTAAAACCGCTCCACATGCTTGTTTACTAGCATCGGTGATTATGCAAAATTCTTTCTGAAAATCTGGGTACTGTAACAGAGTGGGTTCCATAAGTTTATCTTTTAAATATTGGAATGCATTTTGACATTCAGTTGACCACTCAAAGGGGACATTCTTTTTACATAATCTAGTTATGTGCCGGGAATAGTCGGCGAAGTTTTTAATAAAACGTCTATAATAATTGCAAAATGCAATAAATCGTCTAGCGCTGTCCGCATCATGTGGGACTGGATAGTTTTTGATGACGTCATATTTCTTGTCATCTGGCAAGATTCCTTTATCTGTGCATTTATGACCAAGAAAGGTCACTTCATGCATAAAAAATGAACATTTTTGTGGATGTAATTTTAGGTTGTGTTTCCTTCATATCTCAAAAATATCTGTTAAGTTTTTAAGCATATGTTTTTCGGAACAACCCATGACTATTAGATCGTCCATATACAGGAAGGCTTGCGAAGCTTCAAGTCCAGAGAATGCTATAGTCATCATTCTTTGAAATGAATTCGGCGCTATTTTTAAACCAAATGGTAGTCGCGTGAAGCGATATGAGCCATTGCTCGTTGAAAAAGACGTTATATTTCGCGAACTTTCTTCTAGTTCGATTTGATGAAAACCTGACATTAAGTCAAGGCATGAGAAATACTTTGCTCTACCTAGTTGATCCAAAATGTCATCAATTCTAGGTAGTGGAAATTTGTCGGCCAGGAGTTTTTGTTTATTTGACGATAGTCAACTTGTTGAGACAACGAGCTTTTTCGCTGACTATGATTGTTCAATAATTTCACAAATTATTAATTTCCGAAAACGTTATAAATTTTATACCATTGTTTTATTGCCTATCAATTCACTTTCTTTTCTATTTTGGTCATTATACTAAACTAACGTAACGTAAGCGTAGCTTTATCTATGCTCGCTCAGCAACATGCTCTCATTTAATCATCTATTCTTATCTATGCTCGCTCTTGTTATCTTTTCTTTCCTATGCCGTCGCTAAGCCGTCAGCAGCTGCGCCTGCTCAAACAGTTACCGCTTGATATAGTTGGAGAACAGACCCTTTTGTCCCCAATCTATTACTTTGGCTCGAGATCGGCTCGCTTGCCTCATCCAAGTGTGTCACTCTAATACTATTGTAAA